TTAAATGGTACTAAACTAAACTTATTATCTCTACTTACACAATCAGAGGATGCAATAGGCAAACAAGAAGAATCAGAAATAAAAGAATCCTCCTGAATTGTGGTAGACTCTGGTATAGATATTGGAACTACTACACTGCTACTATTATGTTTATTACTAAAATTTGGGAAGATATTTGGGGAAGATAATCTATGTGAATCAAATGTATTATATTGAGAAGTTACTTCTTGGAATGACTTGGTGTGGTGTGTGTTGGTTTTTTGGAGACAACCCCTTTCCCTTTCCGACTGGAAGATGGGTTTGGGTGACTTGACGTGGTTGGACCAGTGACTTCGTTTGATGTAACGGTTTGATTCCCTGATGGGGGTGTGGACGGAGAAACGCTCAGGGGACGGACCTCCGATCGTTCGTTTCCCGAACACCTAAAACAATTGCGTTTGAGGGTATTTTCTTTACCACAACCGTGGCAGAAAATACGGGTACGAGGGATGCCGCAATCATAAAAAGTATGGCCAGACTCACGACAATTCCAGCACACTACAGAACTAATAACTGATATATTACGTTCAGAGCCCTTAGGTTGCCAAGAACGGTGTCTAAAAGAATTTTGATGACCGAAAGAGTCAGAAGAGTGTTTAGAAGTGGTTGGAGGTTGAGAAGACCAAGATAAAGTTTCCTCCAAACGTTTACACTTCTCAGTTATGTCTGCTATACTGGTGATGTCTACTAAAGCTAATTGCTGATGATAAAATGGCAGTAGACATTTGAGGATGATCTTAATCTTTGCAGAATCTGTCAGAGGTGTTTCAAGGCGACTACACATACCCAAAATGTTATTTATAAACATCGTAACAGACTCGTTTGGCTTCTGTTTACGATTTTTGATTTGGTCTAGAAGGTCATCTTGAAATGAATATGGAAGAAAATCAGATTTAAGTTTCTGAGCCAAATCAGACCAATTAGAAAAGTTAGTGCGGTTATTCATAAACCACGTAAAAGCTGTGCCTGTAAACAACTCAGCAGAAGCTGCAAAAAGATCCTCCTCACTCACTCCTCTCGATATGCGAAGACATTCCACCCTATCCAAAAAGGAAATAACCTGGTCATAATGACCTTCACCAGAAAATGTAATGCCCCATTTATGTACCTGAACAGGTTTGGGGTGAAGAAATGAATTAGCTGCTTGGGCTGAAGAAATAGGGGTTGAAGTAGCAATTGGATTCACTCGTGAATCAAGTTCACCCTCTAGGCTAAGAATTCGGATTGAAATAGAGCGTTTGTAAGTTTGCTGCTCCTCATTCGAACATGATAATAAATGGACACGGCCTGAGACATGGGCTAGACGTGATATCAGCCTGGAGTATAGGCTATCTTGGACAGTCCCTCTAAAATCGGATATCCTTTTAGCCAAATCATCCATAGTCTCATCAATCTCTTCTTGTTGTTCCAAAAAGGGAATACTGGTGGCAGAAATTTGTCGAAAGCTCCTATTTCCTTCTTCTTGCCTTAGAGCTCCACGCAATATCTTGCGTTTTAAATCCACATTGGAAGAAGCATCAATGGGGATGTCCCTAATTCTCAACTCATAATCTAATTCTTTAACTAATAAATGTTCTACCTTGAATGCAGACATTGTGAAAGAAAACAAATAGATGAATAGGTAGAATAGACAAGGAGATAATATACTCACACTCCACAAAACCAATCGAATAGTAATATAAAGTTTTCAAAAAAAATATATAAGTAAATATGTACCAACACACCACAAAATCAATCCAAAAATAATTTCAAGTTATTCACAAAAATCTCAAAATGGTTAAGTAAGTTAAGTAAATATAAACACAATCCTTGAAGCAACACACAATGGTTTCAACAAGTATATGGTTAACAAATACTTGAATATAAAAATTCACCAATATTGGCTAATATATATATATGTATAAAAAATAGTAATATCTAAATTATTAAATTCTTAAAGTTCAATAATAGTAAAATAGGTAGTCAATTGTACACAATGCGATTAACTAAAAAGGTGAGGGTTTAAATATGAATGTAAGCAAACTACAGCAATACAAGTATATCTATAAATGTAAGTCTAATAAGAAAAGATAAATAAATAAAGAAGTTAAAAAAAATGAACAAAGAGCAACAGGAACAAATTAGAAATAATAAAGAATATTTTGCAAAGAGAAATATACTTCAGAATGTACGGTCTGAACTGAGAAAAGGCACCACGTTGGGAACGCCAATGTAACAAAAATGGATTGGCTGGAGCGCCAATATAACAAGAATGTGTAGTGTAGCAATAGGGTAAACTCTAAAATGTACCTTGATACACCAACGAACTAATATGTGGAATAACAGAAGATGAAAGGGAGTAGATAGAAATAAATTATGTGAAAGAAATAAATCAAGGGTAAATATGAATTTTAAAATATAATAAAATTAATGCTGGCTAGCGACTATGCAGGAGAATGACCACTTGACAATCAAAGAGGGATTCGGCCAATTTGCATGCCCTACAGAGACCGTAAGATGTAAGAATTAATGACTAGAAACTACCAAGAAATAAACAGAAGAAAGATAAAGTTGCTCTAATGAATATTTGGGCGCCAGGAAGTTAAATGGTTTCTTCCGAGATATCTTGTATTGCTGAAATATTAAAGGATAGGTACCAAGTGAAATATTGAATTGTTTTAACCCAACTTTAATAAACACCAATTTTATGTACAGACTATTTTAAATACTTATCTATGACCCACCACCTCTTATGTACAATTAACTAATCTATATTTACAATGAAAACCCCTGAATGCAATGATAAACAGTTTCCCCTTTCCCAAATGTACCTATTTATGTGAAATGTTGACTAAGGTTATGCAAATTATATAAATATAATATAAAATGAAATATATAATGATATAAATGTTCCAATTATCGAATAAATGAAATAAAACCTCTCCGGATATGTGTGCACACTATAACCTGTTAACGAGAGATTCCAGGGGAGTTACAATCTCAACCCTTGATGAATACTAAATGTTTTAATAAATTTACACTGACTATTATTTAAAAAAAATGAATATGATTATTATTAATAAAAAGTTAAAGCCTTGAAGAGGAAGTTAAAAGGTATTATTACAAATTTACACTGACTATTATTTAAAAAAAAATGAATATGATTATTATTAATAAAAAGTTAAAGCCTTGAAGAGGAAGTTAAAAGGTATTATTACAAATATTAAATGAAAACAACAAAAAAACAAAACTAGTTCTTCCTGTCGGTTTCTTTCTCCGTGGACCTGGGAGGTGGTCAGGATGAAGAACTAGATGCAGGTGGGTAGAGGTCCAAAACTGGACTCCAATAAAAGGTACTGAGACTTTTTACTCTTTAAACTAAAACCATAGAATTCTTCCCTGTGTTTAAATCCCCATAAATTTAAATTAAAAGTGTTTCTTCCCTCCCCGACTTGTCCTGGAATCCGTAACTAGGCTAAAAAAACACAGTTGTGTTACTACAAAGTCCTTTGTTCATACAAGAAAGTAAAGAAAAACCAAGAAATGTCAACACGTTGCTTCAAATTGAAGCAAAAACTATAATGTGTTTCTTTAAAAAAAAATAACCTTGGGACTGTATGAAAATGTTTGGGTACTAACTAGGTAATTTTAAGGAACGCCTGGTATATAGATTATAGAATCGAAAAAAAGTATTAGCCGGTTTAAACGGTATGGAATTATAATTTATAATTGTTGGTTTTCATACTCGTAAAGAAATAAAATTATAAAAATATATTACTTGTAATCTGTTGAGGTATTTAGGAAATAAATGGAATAGTTAAATAGACCAGAATGTATTTTGAAAGAGGATTAAAGAAATAGATTTAAATTTCACCAACAAGGCGGATGATGTGACATGTTTTATATATAATTTATTTATAATTTAAAACTCACCGGCTGTGGTCCAAACTTAAAGTGTTTTCCCAAAACAACAAAATAACAAAAAGGCTTCTTCCAACACAACTGATTTTCCAAAAAAATAAAAAATTAAACCAAACTCATGGAATAAAGATGGCCCCCACAGCCGCCTCTGAACACGTCTGCTCACTTCACGATTCCAAGACCAAGTGCCGGTCTCATGGCACTTCGGCGGTCACGACAATGTATTTTCAGAGTCTTAGACAGAGGGCGGGATTTAATGCCAACTTTTAAAAATAAAATTTACCGAAGTTATTCAAATGTTTGGTTTAAGAATATTTAGAAATGAATTTAATTTATAATTAAGTTAAAGGATTCCAGTGACAGGACAGTAAGTGGGTATTTAAGTAACGGACTCGTTACAAAACCTCTGTATAAATGTGTTTAGGATTGACAAATTCCGATATAATTAATTTTAAATTTGACGGTTTTTATATACAGGTTCTGTTATTGTTAAAAGTTATTAGTTTATATGTAAGCATGTGTGAGAAAAAGAAGATTTAATTTTCTAATAAGTGTTATATTCAGTTAATTGTTAGATAATGTTAATTTTATTTAATGTTTATTATAGCAATATGTGGGTCGCAAGTCGTGGTTTAGATTGATTATTAATAACACGAATTTAAGTAATTGATTTACTCAATTCTTAGACATATTTTATAAGATTAGTATGGATTACACTAAATGTCATTTCAAATTTGATAATTTGACAACACTACTTCCATGACTATGATAATGTTTATTGAACCAAGAGAATTACAGCTATCTGATACCCTAAACTGTTTTCATAAATCATTGCTACCTATATATATATATATATATATATATATATATATATATATATATATATATATTAATTATAAACTTCAAAATAAACTTGAATAATTAAAGTTGTTCTAGACATCTTTTTAAGAGATTCAAACTGGGAAGACCAATAAAAGAATAAAAGATGGTCTGATAGTCTACACTCTATAGTCAAGACACACAAACATCTATCACGAAAAATGGAAACTGTTCCAAATTACCTTTATTCATGGCAGTCCATTCAAGAAAATCAGCCTTGAATTCATTAGCTATTGATCCGTGTTGCTGTACAGCATCTCTGTAGACAGTTTCAACAACTTTTTCTGAGGAAGACAAGACATGGTATTTTATAAGAATTATCCAGAGTGGAGTAGCTTTTTCTTTGAGTGTCATATGTGCCTTTTTAAATTCTACATTTAATGCTTTTGTGTCATCTCGCATTATCATGCATCTTAACTTCATTTTCCACAGTTCCACTGAATTAGGAAAAGCAATTAAACCATCCTCAATGATTTTCAACATGTCTGATTCCACTGTATACAATTTTGCCCAATTCAAATAGTACCTAAAATAAGGAGGAAGATAATTAAAAAATTTTAAAATGTAAATGTTAATATCTCAAAATCATGCTAAGAACCATCACTTATTTCATACTAAAGTTTCCACTGTCCCATAACTTACATACATTAAGATTAAGATATACAGTGGTGAGTGCTTTACCACCCGGCTTTTTAACGAAAGAGATAGAAAACACAGTTACCTTGTGAAATAAAAAGAGATGAAACTCGTAGAGGTGGGAAATAATCGATAGAAACCTATAATTTACATTACATTGCATTAACACTATCGATAGTCTCACACCTTTAGACGTTAGTTTCGAGCTAAATCACCTCGGTCATAATTATTATGTGTGACGTCGTATGTGTGAAGTATTTCGGTGACATTTTTTAATTTCGCATAAAGTAAAAAATGATTGACCACAATAAAGCAAAAATGTGAATAAAATAAATTATTAATAGTGATTATTTAATCTAAAGTTTTAAATTATTAACCAAGAATAATTTCTACTATGATTTGAGGAGTTTCATACACTCTTGTCACACGAAAATAAACATCAGTCCTTCGTGGATTAGTGGTAAGAATTCGACACTACGACGCAGACGATTAGAGTTCAAAACCCACATGTGGTTTTTTTTTAATAATTTGAAATTATGCAGATATCGTTTTGATTTGAATCACTAAACAGTTATTAGTATTAGTTACTAGTATTACAAGTGTTTAAAGTTAAACACAAATATCTTTTTGAATTTAAATTATTTTGTATTTCCGTTTTATAACATTGGAATAAGAATAAATTGTAAATAATAAGTTTTTCGAAAACTTGTTACCTAATATGTATCATATTTTCTATTATTTTTTGATTAAGTAAAACAAAATTTTATCCTTGGTGTGAATTGAACCCCAATCTTCTTGTCAAAAGACCACGTGTCTAAGTATTACACCAACTACACATATAATAACTGTTTTCGGACAGAACATACCTACCTTTAGTTTAGTCAAATATTTCAGTCAGAGTTATTTTTATTATTAAATAAACTTAAAGATTTATAATTTAAAATCGCTACTAATTAATGTTTTTTACTTTAATTCTTAATTTATTCAATCATTTATTCTTACATCAGAAATTATTAAAATAAAATATTTTCGCGGTCATCCGTATAATTATGACTGAAGTCAAATAGCCACATCTAAGAACTAGCTTTATCTCATTCTTTTTCACAAAATCCGTCTTCTATCCTTTCCGCTATTTTGCCGGGTTTTAAAGCGACTTTAAACACTTCTAATACTATAATAACGTCTAAAGGTGTGAGACTATCGACTGTGGTAATGTAATGTAAATTGTAGGTCTCTATCGATTATTTCCCAGCTCTACGAGTTTCATCTCTTTTTATTTCACAAGGTAACTGTGTTTTCTATCTCTTACGTTAAAAAGCCGGGTAGTAAAGCACTCATCACTGTATTGTGAAGGTCTAATTTTGTTATCTTAAAAAAGTATATAAAATGTAAATCTGTAAATTTAGATAGGAGAATTCAAAAAGGTTTTTTGACAACATAGACTTTTCCACACTCTCACCTGAAAGATAATTATGTACAGTCTACATACTTTAATCTAATATCTATAGTATAGATCTATACTTCTAAGAAAGCCTATTTTCCGTTTCAGAGCTATGTTTTACCTAGTTGAAAAAATATTTCCTAAGTATTTATTGCTAATATATTACAAGAATTTGGCATACCATCAAAATTAATAAGACTAGTGCAAATGACAATGACAGAAACAGAAGCACATGTATGTATTCAAGGACAGATCACTGATGCGTTTATGACAACGCAAGGACTGAAACAAGGTGACGGACTGGCTCCAACACTTTTTAATCTTGTTCTTGAATATGTAATTAGACGGTTGACGGTGAGCAGAAATAACATACTTACAAACAAATCTACCCAATTAGCAGCATACGCAGATGACATAAACATAATGAGCAGAACAAAGACTGCGGCAGAAGAAACCTACGTTCAGTTGAAACAGAGTTCAGAAGTTGTAGGGCTAACAATAAATACAAATAAAACAAAACTACTCATACAAACCAGATCAAATAGACAGGCGCAACAACAACAATTTATAGACGATATAGAATACGTGAATAGATTCACGTATTTAGGAATGGATCTGGTCGAAAATAATGAAGAAGAACCGGAAATAAATAGAAGGCTTATGCTGGCAAACAAAGCCTATTTCGCGATGGGCCACATATTCAAATCGCGAGACGTACACCGGAAAACAAAAATCCGGGTATATAAAACAATAATCCGACCCATAGTAAGTTATGGGTGTGAAACATGGGTTATAACACAGAAATCTACCAATGCATTAGACGTGTTCGAAAGAAAAATATTGCGTAGAATACTGGGTCCAATAAAGGAAAATAACAACTGGCGAATTAGATATAATAACGAAATATACGAACAATACACTGAACCAACACTAGCACAATACACTAGACTGCAGAGATTACGATGGGCAGGGCATGTGGCCCGCATGCATGAGAACAGAATCCCCAGAAAATTACTAAACGCAAGAATGCAAGGAAAAAGACTTGTTGGAAGACCAAAAAAGAGATGGGAAGACGAGGTAGATGAGGATGCCAAAAATATCCTAAAAACGCGTTCATGGAAAAGAACAGCAGTAAATAGAGATGTTTGGAGAGGTTTAATGAAGGAGGCCAAGGCCCGGCTTGGGCTGTAGTGCCATTGGATGGATGGAAGTATTTATTGCATTGCAAATGTCACAAGAATGATAGAAATATCAGAAGAAGTATCTTAATACCTGTGTACAAATTAAAAACTATGTTCAAATATACAATGTAAATAAAAAAAGATGTAAATTGGAGCTGAAAGGTCAGATAATAGAACAAGTGATGGAGTTTAAATATCTGGGCATCACATTATCTAGCTACAGAAAGCTGAAAACTGAAGTGGAAGATCAAGTGAATAGAGCAAACAGAGCCATAGGCTGCCTGAGTGAAACAATATGGAGAAATAAAGATAATGGGAAAGAAATGAAAGGCAGAATTTTCAAAACAATCATCAGAACAATAATGGCATATGCGGCAGAAACATGACCTGACACAGAGAGGACAAAAAGGATGTTAGAAACAACAGAGATGAAAAATTATGGTAAGACACTATAGAACAGAGCTAGAAGTACATATATACAACGTAAATACGAGGTGGAGAACATCAAGAACTTAGTAAAAAATAGAAGAGTAGAATGGAACAATCATATAAGCCGATTGAAAACAAATAGAGCAGTAAAGAGGGTAAGAGACGGTTCCCCAATAGGAAGATGATCAGTAGGAAGACCACGAAAATGATGGAATAACAACTTACTGGATGCACATTGAAAAACAGACAGCCCTACCAAATATAAAAGACAACAAAATCATTCATTTAATCATGAATCTAAAAATATTAATATATAAAAAACATCCCAAATGCAGTAAGTAATAAAATAGTCAGTGGCTCTATTCATCAAAATTTCCATAATTGTAGACCACTCAAATGCTCACTTACTTTCAACTGTGATATGAAAATGATTGCACTATATTTTTATTCAATGACACATTCAATCTAGATTTGAGTTTACTTCAAATTCACGTTAGGTAAAAGTATGAAGGTGATCTAAAAAAAAATGGTGTATGAGACATGTCCAGATATCTTACCCATACTGAGATGGCCCAATAATGTATGAGAAGAAAGAATATTGTGCAGCAGAAGCTGCTGATCTCATTTTTTATAAATTATATTATACCTTGATGATTGACCAACAAGGAAATTGATGTATGGCATACCCAGCACAAATTGTACACAAAAATAATATATTTATAAAATGCTGCAATATGTAAATATTATCATTCTTAAAATATCTCATTGATTTATCTGGTTCCTGTTGTGTGAACACAAAATTATTCTACAGATCTATCTGGTTCGTACAAAAGGTTAGAAGACTTTATATTCTAGAAAGGAATGAGAGAGTTTTTAAAACTGAAGAAAATACCATCCTTAGAAATATTATGAAAGATAGATTAGATACCCTCACAATGATTTCTGCTGAGACAATATAAATAGAATAAATAATTGTTAAGAACAATTGATACAATAAATTTATAAATAGAAGATTAAAAATGAACTATAAAGTCTAATATCTCTTCAAAATAAGTGGAACACAAAAATATCTACCAACAAATAAAAATATTTGATTGTGCTGGGCAATATTTTAAACAATGTATTAAGTATATAAGATATCTATCTATATAAAAGGCTAGGGTGACAAGTCACACTGTTTGTACAGTAAGGTAACTATGCTACCTAGGAAAGAAACCTGAACTACAGCATCTGACATTTCAATCATATTTTGTTCTTGAAACGATATAGTTGATTTATCGCTAATGCATTCCACAAATTGATGATTCAAATATTTTTAATAGGAAACTTTACTACTTCACAGTAATTACTTTTTTTCACAAAATTGCTAAAAATATAGGTTACTGTAATTGTAAGGTATGGTTAATACCATATAATATATATTTATTATATGTCTTACTCACTTACTATAACAATAAAATGATGTTTAACAAATGTCAACCTTTTACCAAAATAAAAATAAAATAAATACCTATGTAAAAATAAATAAATAAAATTCAATAAAATCAAAATTATATAAAATTTAATAAAGGTAAATAGAATTATATTAAATGAAATCAAGTTAAACAGAATTACAGAAAATTAAATAAAATTAAGTAAACAAAATACTTGTAAAAAGGCTGCTTAGCGTTTCTGCTTCATTTCCCATGTAAAATCCCATAATAAAATGCTGAGGTTCATTCTGCTCATTATTTGAGTGTTTTGTGGTGGAGGTAAAATAGGGCATTATATCATATCTCCTATGTTATTGGTCCAATTGGAGCGTGTGATGCGTTACATGAAAAGGAAGGATATACCGAACATATTAAGATAGAAAAAACAAACAAGGCGACTACCAAAAGAGCACTACACAATGTTTCCATGATTAATAAATGCATAATTACATCCGAGATGTCATAGAACACTATGGATAAAAATAGTTTAAGTAAAAGACAAATTTTAATTTATTGACTTAAAAAAAGCTGAGTATAAATAACTGAACGAATCCTAACATGCGACAAAGCAAATGAAGGGGAGGAAATAATGAAAATTTTGTGTATTTTTGCATCTACATATGTCTGTGAATCTACATTCAGTAAGCTGAAGTTGATAAAAAACATGTAAAGATCTAGGCTAACTAGTGAGAATGTTAAAAACATTTTGAGAATTTCAGTTTCTTCCCAACCTGCTAACATAGATGCTATTCTAGAGAGCTGTGAAAGATTTCGCCCATTGACTTCCAAGAATTAACAAATTCAGGACTTGCCGTTCATGGAGTCATATAAAAGACATTTCCCATGCAAAACAGTCCATATAATTTATAATACATATATTGTTTTTACATATTTCATTCAAACTATTAGGCTCTCAAAGAAATCCTAGTAAGGATCCCTGTGGTAAATTATTGTTGGTATGGGAGGGTTCCATGTTACATTGATACAAGAGACCTGTGTATAACAGGACCCATAAAAGGCATATTAGGTGTTGGTACAGGGAGTCTATCAAAATCTCAATAACTTATGGAATAGTCAATTAAATATGTAAAATATGCTAATTAGCTAAAGAGCAGCAAGTATAGCACAGACAGCTTCCAAAGAAGAAAGAAAATTGTTAAAAATAATGGTGATAATATTAAACTGTTATAAAATAAAAATTGCAAAATAATAAAAATTGTTGAAAACCAAATGCATTACTTTTTACCTTTCATTCAATACTGAATCCCTTTTAGCTTTTTCAAATTTTTCCTTTAAAGTAGTCTTAATCATATGGTTTGATATATCTTTCTGTTCATTTACTTCTATCAAAAAATCTAGGTAATATTTCCACAATACAACTTTTTTTTCAGTACTAACTTTTTTTAATCCGAGTTCATATTTATCTATGGACCTTTGTAATTTAAATTTTGTTGAAGTTCTAAGTTCATCTGGCAAAGGATAGTGCTTTCCATTAAGTTCTCTTTCTGCCAAAAAATGCCATACATCTGGTTCATTAGAATATTTAGACATTAACAATTCTATAATTCTGTGCTGAATATTTTTCGTAAAGCTATGAGGATCTAATATATTCAATATACCAGTTAAACAAGCAAAGTCATGAATATTCTTCTCTATAGCGTCAATATATTGTTCTATTTTTTTGTAATAAGCCTCATCTAGGGTATCCCCTTGCGTATCACTGGGCCACTGATTTTTTTGTCTTTGTAAGAGCTCTAATTGAATAGCTTCTAATTGTAATGTTTGGGAACTGGGATGAATTGTAATACCTTTATGTATCAGAGCCAAAGATTGTTTAGTATCACTAGAGGCATACCAGGCTGCTGCAACTTGCCAAATATCAGGAACATGTGCATAAGCTTTAATCATATTCTGAACACATAAATATGCAGCTTGATGAAAGTTATACTCTCTACAAAATTTGAAATATTCAAGATGAAGATTCATTTCATTTGTAAATCTCTGTAAGGCTATTTCATATCGACTTTTTATATTTTTTAGTATTCTTATTTCTATTTTATTTTTCTTTTCAGATATTTTCAATTTCTTTCTTCTTAATTTTATGTCTTTTAATAAGGAGAGTTCATAATCTATGTAATCCTTAAAATGTTGTAAATTTTTCTCTACGCCATTAAGCTTGCATTCGAAAGCTTTTCGTTTTTTTATAATTTCCTTCGTTTCTAGTATCGAGAATAGTTTAAGTCTGCGCATTTCTAGTATTTCTTCAGACATTGATTCCATTCTGCGTTCTACAATTTCACCCATTGTGCCGACAGTAATTGCTTGGTCTGGCTAATCTCGGTTTTATATTAACACAATTCGTACAATTACTTAGCTATGGTTTATAAAACCTTATTTTTGTTGCTATTCATTTAACGAAAATAACTACAAAATACATGTTAAAATAATTAAGGTTAAAAACCACAGCTATCACTGTCATAAGTCATGATGTCGTAGATCTTTTCCTCTTCCAAACTCAGCGTAGGTAGACACACATTTGTTCCTTATGCTGTGTTCCAGATTACAAAATTGTGATCATTTGAGATAATAAAAGAAATCTATCTAGATCTTAGTTTGAGACCTTTTCCTTAAATAATTTTTACTTTTACTATAAAAAACAGGGTAAAAGTCTAGTGCACCGGAAAAGGCTATTTTTGCAATTTTTCTTGGACTCTGCCAAAAAAGGGAAAGAAAGGCTTTTTTTATGAAATGTGGGATATCCTTTCCTTATAGAGAAGGCACAGAATAATAAACGAATACCCACTCTCCACGGAAAATTAAGTACGCGCATCTCCTCCGCGCAGACGTTCCGCCATGTTTTAGGAGGATTTTAAAGAAATTAGTGTTGTTTATGTGGTGTGCATGGAAAAATTAACCAGGTTTATTTGACTTACGGCAATCATAGACATACTATACAATTATATTAACATTGTTAAATATAATATAATTAAACATAAATATAAACAATTACATAACCACACAAATCATATGTCTGTGTCCTCCTAAAACATGGCGCGCGTGCTGAAAAACTTCAAAGGCGGCATCTGAGAGTAGCCCTTCTGATTGTTTATTATTGTATGGAGAAGGTAACCAGAATATAGTCGCAAATGTCAATCATGCAACATATTTTTCGATTTTGAAGTGTGGGCACAAAATAAATAAGAGTCAGATTGCCCACTCTCAGATGCTGCCTTTGAAGTATGTTAATATTTTAAAAGAAAACATAGACAGAGAATTAATAACAATCAGAATGCCCACTGTCAGATGCCGTCTTTGAAGTTTGTCAGCACACGATCGCCATATTTTAAACGGAAACATAGACTCGAATTGAGAAAAGTATAACGATTCTTTTGCTGCCTCAGTTATGCCAATATATTCAGCTTCAGTTGAACTTAAAGTCAAAGTTCTTTGCTTTTGACATTCCCATGAGATAGGACCACCAGCCAAAGAAAAAATAAATCCATAAAATGACTTTCTATCTGAAGTGTTATTGGCCCAATCTGAGTCAACAAAACCACTTAAACTAACATTTGACTTTCTGTAATTAATTTCTACAGTTCTTGTACCTTTTAGGTATCTCAAAATACGTTTAGCTGCTAACCAATGTGCTTTAATAAGGATTAAATTCTAACTATTTTTGACAAAAATACATGGTTCAATTTCACATTGTTTAAAATTCAAAAACAAAATTTGGTATGCCCTTTTATACCACAATCTCGAAGACTGTTTGAGACCATGGATCGTATTTTTGAATGTGTTCGAATTTACTCGCATGCGATTAGTTCGAACGAAAAAAAAAATCGTGCACGAACGTAAAAGCGTATTTTTGGAACGCAATTCGAAAGTTTAATTCGCATACGAGAATCCGTTAACCCAAATTCACCGGCAACGCCGCAAATTCGCACGAAATTAAGAAAAAAAGAGGTAGAGGTGACAGGCGACATTTATTTGACTGACAAGTTTATTTTACTTGTTGCAACAGAACAACTCTATCCACGCCAACCAAGTCTGGCAGTAGCCTGGCCGTGGTTTGGGTTTAATATGCGTCGCTCCGTCTAAAACCACGTTTTACAAAATAACCCACGCGTGGGCTGTGCTCAATTTGCGGAGGGCCTTTACATGGAATTTTATATACCACATTCGATTGCGCCTAATTCTATAGATATTTATTTTGTTGGAGAACTGAAACTATGGTTAAATTGGTTTTTCGGACAATGAACATAACCTATAGATATATTTGACATTAAAGGTCGATTCAGACACATCAGTCCCGTCACAGTCTCGGCGCCGAACCGGTCCTGTTTGGTCACAGAACAATCAACTATCTGACAGATGGGAAACTGTTCGTCAACTGATGAATGTGAATGCCGGCGCCATATTTCTATTAAAGAATATTTTGTATGACGGATTACTCGGTTCGGCGCCAGGACTATGACGAGACGTGACTGATGTGTCTGAATCGACCTTTAATGTAAGCTTAATATACGTCAGTGTTGCCATATACTCAATTATTTCATAAAATTATGGACAAAAGCACTTAATACAATTATATGAAATGAAAATTTGAAACAAACAAAAACGTGGAAAATATTATAAAATAAAATTATATCTTGCATTTAAAAAATAATTATATAATAAATACTATTAAAATTATGCCTAAGGTAAAAATTAATATTTCTTTACTCCGTTTGGTGTACCAGAAATTGAATTCACTACGAATTTTGACCACGATGAACGGCATTCGGAATGCAAAATTTAAAGTGAAGTTTAACCATCTGTAGCAATCTAGCAATTCCTGTTTTAAGATTTCTGGCTTCATTGCCAAATATATCAGTTTACAAATATATCAAACAAAGTTTATACATAGTTTACAAAATACTATGAATGCTTTTTAATATGAATTCAAAAATTTGTGAAGATAAAAATACGTTTGAAATTTGAATCATATGGATCAGAGTAATTGTTCTCTGGGTGAAGCAAGAAGGGTTCTAGCATCTGAACTTAAATGAGAAAGATCAGGAACTTCTTTATGATTTTTTAATAAATCACCTAGTATTAAAGGACAAAGTCCAGTTGCATAACTTATTAGAAAAATTAAAAACATCTCGATAAGGTTCTCCAGAATTCTCGTTACAACCATATTTAAGACAGTTTTACATTAAACTATTTTCATGCTAGGCAAGAGCCATGCAAGACAGATCATGGAACTGCGCATGCCCACGTGCTATTTCCATGCAATTCCTGTGCTAGACGAAAAATTAGAACATGTTCTATTTTTCATGCAATTTTCTTGCAATTTATCGTTAAAATTCATGTTGCCAACATAACAATTTATAATAGATTACAGAATAAAACATAACCTTATCTCTATCTTTAGCGTCCCTTAACCCACATGTGTATTGTTGTGTTTTGATTTAAATTAAGTTTATTAAGTGGTGATAAATAGATATACTATGTGTAAAGTTAATGAAAGAACGACTGGGTGAGTCGTTGACTATGGATGATTGTTGCTACAACAGCAATATTCAACAATAACAATGTTTTCTTTTCTTTGGTTGACATCCTTCACCCTTTTAATAACCATAAATAGTGTATATTTATTTATTATATTATTTATTTTAGTACTTAATTATATTTTTTATTTAAAATAAAATAACCTCAAATTGATAAATATTTTCTCTGTTGGCAACAATGAAAGTGGGATCTAAAATTGCACAGAAATATCTCTGATGTAAAAAGGTCAAGCTAGGCAAGAGATGCGCCATGCAAGACGGACTTGCATAGCATGAGACTTGCATAGCCTAGATGTAAAGCTGCCTCTAATCTTCAGTTTCATTGAAAAAAAAGCTTTGTAAAGTATCATTGGAATGGTCGGCCACGTGGAAATTTGGATTATTTTAGGTACTTAACATGTTAATAAAAAGTTTAAATCGGAAGTATTGTAACCAGAACTACATATTTGAACTGAAACTCTCATCAAAATGATCAGTTAGTGATTTCGAAGAGGTTTGAAGAAGACGGAATATGGGGGTTATTAATATTTTCAACAATATTCTCTACGTTTTTCGTAACCTTCCTCTGTTGATGACGCTTAGAACAAAAATGGTACCAAACCTTTAACAATATACTACCAAAGGAAGCATCAAAAAGACCAATGCACTGTACACTACTTAAATAGAGTTCTTTTATTTCTTTTATTAAAGCAATAATAATAATAATAATAATATGATTAAACTGCGCCATTTGTTTAAATAGGTATGGCATGACATGACAATATTGACAATTAATATCATCAATCATCACATGTCATATCACATCATTATTTTTCATTCTTTTGTCTTTGAAAAGACAAAAGAGACAATTATTCTGTGGAAAAGATTATCAAGATTCATCTTGTCGATAAAAATCATATTTTTACTTATTAGAATTAGCAAACATATATATTATATCTTGATAACTAGAATAATAAAATTGTAACGAATTATCTAGAAATAAAAGCCTTTTACACTTTACCTAAAAACAAAAACATGTTTTGGATATATTAAACTATACAATTTTTAATTAATTGTGATTTAACCTTTTCGCTTTTAATTATTTTATTAACGTAAATAATTTTTAATTTTATTGAAATATTTGCTATTTGATCCCATAATTGGTAAATGTCGGATGTCCAGAAAACGTCCGAGTTCGGACGTCCAGGGAACGTCTGAGTATGAACGTCCATATTTAGTCCACCCAAAGTACGTCCCACTTCGTACGTCCATTTTACGTCCAGGGACGTCCGGACCAAAACTGGACGTATATTGGACGTCGTGTTTTACTAGGGATGGTTATGAGAAACCAAAATTTGCAAATGAATGTTTGATTGATTTTTTAACAGAGCCTGTTTTTTTTTATTAGATAGTTTAAACTAAAATAATTAAGCATGGATGATCAAGTTTGTGGGGTAGTTAGATTACTGTTACATGTTGATTTATATTTTAGGATAATGAGCTTTCCAAAATTGGTGAGGAAACCATAAACGAATTTGTTAGGAGAACCCATAAGAAGCTGGTCTGCAACAAAATTCAAGGAAAATATAGTTGGCTAGGGAAAAGCAATATAAAGTTTTTGAAGACACACATATAGCTCTGATTTTAAAAGGTTTGTAACTGTTTAAACATAAATCTATCTAAGGAACATTTAAAAACTTACACTATCACTTAAGTTAGCCGAAGAAGCATATCGTTTACTGTGTCTTATATGTAATTTAGATGGCAAATTTTACCATTTCACAAATGTTCAGGTCTGGCTATGAGATTGCTTTAAGAACTACACTTAGCTATATGAGATGAAGGTT